TGCAATGCAGAAATATTAGGATTTAGGGGGGTGTGGGGGGCAAAGCCCCCCACGGATCTGTGAACCATAATTTATTCCAGCACCCCCTAAATTCACACCCAATGTGCGCCTATGGTTAAGAATTCGTAAAAATTTATCTTTTTAAATCTAAGATTTTAAAATGTAATACAAGATTCCTTATAAGATTATCTACCTTTATTAAAAAAAAAATGTCTATAAGAAAGTCAAATTAAATTTTTATGAGGGTTTGAAATTCAAATTTTTACAACATTGGATATTCACTCGATTTCTCGTGTAGCAATTTTCTTATTTTGTTGTAATTCAAAAACAAATAACTGTAGATACATGAAAATTTCACTGAATGTTTATTTTATCAATTATTACACTTGATAAAATTTTCAAAATATTTTGACTTGTTTGAGCTGTTTACGGACAATTTTATTATTTTTTTTTCTATGACTATCAATTAATTTTTATCTGTTGAACCAAAAAGTGTAAAAATGTAATACAAGGCTCCTGGTATATTGTTACAATAGTAGTTGAAAAATATTAAAAATTCATAGGCACAATTTTTATTTATAAGCATTTAAAGATCGAAATTTGACAAAATTCATCAAATTTAAAATTGAATAATTATTTTGCAGTTAAAAATTTATAAAATGTTCAACTTGTATATCTAAGGATTGAAAATTTAAAACAAAATTCCACATATGTGGTTTATTCTGTTACCAAAAAATCTAAAAAATACATAAGAACAGTTAATTTTTATAGTTATTTTAATTTCAAATTTTTACGAAATTATATATTAAAAACCTAGAATAACTATTTTAGTTATTTTGTTGTGATTGCATAATATTATTCGTGGGTTATAAGAACCTAATGGCTATTGTGATATGATTAATTTGAAATTTATTATAGGTACAGTTTTTATTTTAATACCATAGATAAGTATATAATATGTATTATGTCTTAAAGGTACCTAGACTGACATATCGTCTCCGCTCAGAATCGTTTTTCTTATACAATGCTATTATATCATTGAATTCAAATTTAATACCATCCATTAAAAAGTACCCACTTGTAAGCTACTGTACAGCAGAGTGACTTTTTATTGTTATTTTGCTTGGACACATCATTCACTGGGCAGTGGGCACTACGTGATGTCATTATTCACTATAATATTATACTGTTGCAGGTGTCGTCATTTTTTAGAGTCGCCCGAGTAACGTTTTATTGGATACCTATTTGAGTATATTTTTAATGATTATCATTTTATTTATTTTTTGGTAACAGAATTAACTACTTACGTATAGTCTTGTTTTAAATTTTCAATCCTTAGATATAAAAGTTGAACATTGTATACATTTTTAACTACAAAATAATATTATTCAATTTTAAATTGGATATATTTTGTCAAAATTTGATCTTTAAATGCTTTTTTAAAAAAATTGTGACTATGTATTTTTAATATTTTTCAACTGATATTGTAACAATATATCAGGAGCCTTGTATTAAATTTTTACACTTTTTGGCCCAACAGATAAAACTTTATTGATATTTATATAAAAAAAAAACTAAAAAAATTGAAAACTGAAAATGTCCGTAAACAGCTTAAAAAGTGTCAAAATATTTTCAAAATTGTAAGGTGCATAGAAAATGCTAATATAAACATTCAGTCAAAATTTCATGTACCTAAGGTAATTTGTTTAAGAGGACGCCACACCCGCATATGTTGTCTCCGTCTTACAAATGTACAACATAGCAAAAACTCTTTTGTGAGGGACAACTTTTCTCGCACCATATATTTGTTGTAGAACTACCAATTTTCACAGCATTTAAAGAAGAACTTTATCTGTGAAACAGCGTTCCCATATTTTAAATAACATATATACAATACAAGTTATTTGCTTCTAAACATTTGGTTTTTTCATTTCTTATAAAAAATGATTGGATGGTGCTATGGAAAAAAAGAGCACTCTGTTGTACAGATAAAGTTCTTCTTTAAATGCTGTGAAAATTTGGTAGTTCTACAACAAATATGGTGCGAGAAAAGTTGTCCCGCGCAAAACAGTTTTTGCTATGTTGTACATTTGTAAGACGGAGAGACGGTGACGTGCGGGTTTGGCGTTCTCTTAAGAGTGCAAAAAAAAACCAAAATCAATTTTTTTGAAAACAGATTTTGCGTATAAATTCCTGTTTTTCCTTAATTTTCCTGTTTTTCAAGGCGCTTTTAAAAACTACTGTGAAATTTTTACTTTTGACTCCCCCAAAGTACCAACTAGATTCACTTTCCTATCAGAAAAGATACTGTCAAAGAAAATTCAAGCATTTTTACTGTCCTAAAAGGTGATGACAGACACGAAAAAAAACAAAAAAATAATAAAAAATAATAAAAAAAAAACACACATCATTGTAAAATCAATACATTCATCAATCTAAAAAAGTTTAATTAAAAATTTAAAAAATTAAATAATTACTTACATTTTTTTCCAAAAAAAAAAAAAATTAAGAAATAGAGTTTCATTTTTAAAGATTTGTTATTATGTTATGAAAGAATTGAATAATTTATTTTGAGGTGGTATTACAAGTTTTTAGGTGCTAAGCCCCCCCCCCTAGTTGTGCTTATGTCCGCATGTGTTGTCTCACTCTTACAAACGCGGAACATACAAAATTTACCCTCAGAAATTCAAATTTTATGCCATTAGCTTAAAAATTAGAGTGAATCGACCTATTATGAAACACTATGGTAAGAAAATAATCTGTGTTTTGTTTGAAGTTGTTTTATGATGATTCAGTTTTTAAGTGAGTTATGAGCAATTTTAATTTACATTTATTATAGACGCTATTACTCATATATGTTTCCAATACAAGTATAACTATTTATAAATGAAGATATTGGTTGTTATTTGTTATATCATTAATAGTATCATAATGTCACAGAAAATTATCTTATTTCCTACATTATCATATATTATATGTATTATTTATGTAGTATAAATAATTTTTTTTTTAAAACAATACAAATTTTTAAATGAATATAAGTATAATATAACATAATAGAAATAATTTTTTTAGGAGATACATATTTCTTTACTGGAAATCAGTTTTGGAAGTTTGATCATAAGAACAATAAAACAGAAGATGGATATCCAAAAAATGCTGCTGAATTTTTACTTGGATGTAATTCTTAATGTATAGTTTTATTATTAACATTATAAATTTGTAACTTATCAATAAGCAAATATAAATAAATTGTACAGATTTACTTAAAGGACAAGTGTTTAAGAAATAAGAAACTACAAATGTACATACTTTAATTTAATAACTATTTACATTATATTATATGTAAATAATTTAACTAGCTAGTAATATATTATATTATGTATAGTGGTTGGAACTTGATGTATGTCTATTGCATTAACCAAGTCTGTCGAGTTATCGAATTGAACATGGTAGGCCATGTAAAATTTGATCCAGCCTAGTAATATATGGCTGAAAATATTTGAATACCCCAAATGTTGAACAATGAAATATGAATAATAATAAATAATAAATATTACACTGTAGTGAAAATGTTACCATCAATTTTTTTAGGGACTTTTAAAATCCTAAAACTTGGTTTGCTGATACCTTGCCTATCCAGCACTGGCACCAACATTTATTGAGATATGTAATTAAAATTACCAAAAAATGCTTTAAAATTTTAATTGAAAAAACATTATATTTATGAAAACAAAACATTGGTATTATAATAGTTAAAAATGCTCAAATTTCTATATGGCTGTTTAAAATATAAAGAAATATGCAGTCAAACTTTGTATTTAATTTCACCATTCTCAAAAGAAATTTATAACCAACCGGGAATATTCTTTGACCACCACAGAAAATACCCAATAATTGTAAGACATTTTGAACCCTAATTATGTATATAAATATATAATGTCTTTGTTACTATCCTTTGGTTTTTGCTCCCAACCATATGGGGTCTTACACCTCCATAGGGCTTTGTCTCCTGCTCTACTTTACTCACATTACCAGTGGCATATTTACAGGGGTTGGCGATTAAGGGGATCAATCCCCCCCCCCCCCCATAGACGGTATAAAATATACTTAGGCCGGGCCACTGGATAAAATCATATCCCTCCCCAAGACAAAAACCTAAATATACTACTGCACACCACCTATTTTTATTTCATTCTCTATTCTGTTGATTGATCTCTTCTCTTTTTAATACATAGGTATTATACATGTATTATATATATATATATATATATATATATGCTATATAGTTAAATCCACTCATTCATCGCTTCGGAACATCTTATCCAACATAGTATTTGGAATAAAAATATAATATGAACTTTATTCAAGGATATTAAAATGTAATTACACTGTTCGATGTTCATTGGTCATTGGTGTTTGAATAATCAAATGCAACTGTTTATTAGTAGAAGCATATATTTTATATTGTTATCACACAATAAAATTGAGAACTTATTGAAGTAAGGTATTAGAAAAGATTTATATAACCATATAACTAAAAATCTAAACTCTAAAGATATTGAAATAAGAAAATGTATACAAATTATTAAAGTACCTAATTCTGATTTGTGATAGAATATAAATTATAATCTATATAAACTGATTAAGAATTATGTTAAATATATTTTTTCTTTCTTCAATTTGTATTAAGAAATGATAGTATACTTAGGCATAGGCACACTAAAATAATAAAACACAACAATTTTTTACATACAATTAATAATACAAATATTTAAATGACTAGATTCATAGTAAAAAAGTTGTAGCTTATACCTCACTATAATTATATTATATTGTATACCTTCAATGAAAACTACAAATAATTTATTGGGGATAGTTGTTAACACAATCAAATAGTTAAATAACATTAAGGCAGGAGAGTAATATAAGAGCAAGGTAAAAATGTGAATAACAATCATCTGGAGAAAAAATCCAAAGTGTAATAATATCAAATATTTTTAATCGTCGTCGTCGTCGTCATCTGATGGAACGAACAATTCATTTTCCTCTAGAAAATTAGCCATGTATTTACTAATGGTGGCTCCAATTAGTAACCCTGGCACAACTGTAAAAATTATACCCACTAGCCCAAATGGAATTTTTTGTGGTTCAGGCAATAATGCTCCAGTAGATGATGTGGTGGCTGTACGTACATAATATGGTCGCATAATTCTTGTCATTTTCAAAAAACTTGAAATCTTGGTTTTCATTTTTGTTTTTAGTGTTACAATAAATACAATTAATAGGTATATTAATTTAATGAAATTTTAGGAATAATACCAGATAGATACTTCAAAAGTTTATATTGACAAATTGTCAAATAAATAATAATATAGTGAAAAAATGAAATCTATCAACTGATCTTTGACCGTGTTATTACTTATTATCAGCTAGAAGTCCATATCACAGAATAGAGAAATATTCCGTATAGTCCATGATAATATTATATGGTAATCATATGGGAAATTTTAATATATATGATAAAACCAATAGATAATAAAGATAAAGTTTATAAATATATATATATACTGGTATATAGGTTTTGATAAGGATGACTAAACATCGGGGATAAAAAATACTTTCTGTGTATTTGCCTACACTGATCCGGTTAAAAGTTACCATTTCTCCTGACCACTTCTACAAATTAATTTGTCTTCATTTTCTTGATTCTTCTTCTAAAATATCATCACGATGTTTTTAATTTTTATAGTCACGTTTTAAAAAATATTTATATTTTGAACCAAAATTATTAAAATTTTTGATTTATTTTATTTTATGTTATTGTCTATTATATTTTGTTGGTGCATTTGTTATAAGCTTATAGAGTTGGGTAAATTTTCCCGGCCGTGTATTTTTTTTTAATTTATAGAGAAGATCAGAAGCCATTTGCAATGACACTAGAAGTCAAGGAGGGAAACTTGACTAATTCAAGCAATCAGCAACTAAATGGTATGTATAGTAATAAGCAGGTATTACACTAATACTAAAATCTAAATTACAAAAGTGTATAATATCAATTAGTTGATTGTTTTATATCTATGAAGTATTCTTAGCTTATATTGTTAGCTATTGTTGTATAAAATGGTTAGGTACTATTTAAATTAAAAAAAAAATATTTTTAGGTCGAATTGTAAGTAAGTACATTTTTGCATTATCAATTAAAAATAATGTGTTAATTAAATTAAAATGCTGTAGTCATTCACTTATATATATATATATATTGATGATATATTATAGGTACCTATTTGTATTTCATTAAATTATTATTTATTATTATTTAAGACCATTATTGGTGTTTATAAGTTATAATATTTTTAATTTTTAAACTTATAAATCTTTGCAAATCCCCCTTTTAATAAACATCAAATAATGTTATTGCAATGAATAGTAGGTAGGTACTAGCTAAATATTTCTAAATATATTTATTACTTAGGTACAGTTGTGTATTAGGCGTATGTTGTATACTCACTTCTCTAATTTTCTTTGTTTTAGCATATACTCTTAATTAATTATGATATGCAGATGGTGTATACCTATTAGAATTTTTATTGATAGAAACCAAATATTCTATAATTATTTGTATAAATATAATTTTGGGAATCAAAGATATTTTATCTACCATTCACTGTATTAATATATTACTAGGTACTTAACTAAACTGCATTGTTTATAAGTTTTCTGAATTTAAGTTTCCAAAAATATAAAGTGCCATCAAATTGTCACTCCTTTTCTTTCACGTTTTTTGTTTGGATAATTACTTCAATAAATATCTACAAAAGACCATCTTCAAAAGCATTTAGTACTTATATCTGATTGTGATAATAAGAGCTGCAAGAAAATAATAATTTTAAGTGAAGCGAGACATTTTTTTTTTAACTTAATGATAAGGTTTTTACCGTTGTTACCTATACCTGTGTGGAAAAGGTGTTACCATAAAAGTGTATATTTTTAGCAATTCACCACTCCCTTGGAATATTTATTAAAATAAAATTTAAATATATATTTACCAAGGTCTAAGTTCCATAATAGTATAGTTATAAAGTAATAACTGGATTATATTTATGACAATTTTGAATTTTTAGTTTTTCATTTACATTTTTTGAACTATAAATACTAGTAACACATATGGAGTCTTGGATGGTATCTAAAATATAAAAATTGTACCTATGTAAATGTAACACAATATTAAACTTCAAGTATATCAATTTAATTATGATTATGACTTATTAATTAATAAGTATGTTATATTTCAGGAAATATAGAAATAGTTTGTGATGATCATAAAACACCAACTGTAGATCATGTTATTAATGGAATCAGTAGTCAAGAAGTTAATTCTGAAAGTACTACAGCTGTTGATCATGTAGATGTTGTCAACAATAATGAGTCCCATAAAATTGGGAAAAAGCAATCAAAGAAAAATATCAAAAAAGAAAAGGATGTAGATAAAATTATTACGAATGCAAACATTAATGATATTTCTCATAGTGATGATAGTTCGGAGGAAAATACAGATAATGATAAAAAACAAGGTACTGAGATAATCTTCATTCAAGATCTCGGGTTTAATGTCAAAATAGTTTGTCCTGGAACTGAAGGTTTTGAAATTCAAGTAGGTTAAATAAAATGCAAATTATTCAATTTAAACGTGTTTGTCATATGTATAATCTAATGTAGGTATCTAGCATGGAATTAGTTCAAGAGATTCACCAATTATTGATGGACCGAGAGGACACATGTCACCGTACTTGTTTTTCGTTACAGTTAAATGGAGTAACATTGGATAATTTTTCAGAATTGAAAACTATAGATGGACTTAAAGAAGGATCTATTATTAAGGTATGTTTCAGTCTTAGATATTTTTATATTTTTTTTATTTTTTTTTTTCTATAATATTTGTAGGTTGTTGAAGAACCATACACAATGCGTGAAGCTAGAATTCATGTTCGTCATGTTAGAGACATACTAAAATCATTAGAAATGGCAGATGCTTACAATGGTGTTGATTGTAATTCATTATCATTTTTAAATGTTGTTACTCAAGGTGATTAGTTTAATATGAAGTTAATTTACCTAGATTTTAGTTATATAAACTGTGTTTTTAAAAATAGAAAAGAAAAAAACTCGGTCTGAAAGTGTTGACTGTACTCCTCCAGACTACATAATGCCAAACAATAAAGATCGACCTTTACTTCCTCTGCATCCAACATCAAAAGACTTAAAAGGACCTCTGTGTATTAAGGTAACAATTATATTTCACATCTTATATTTATGCTGTACTTAAAGAAATATTTGTTTTTTTGGTAAATGTAAAAATATATTTTATTTTTATTTATTTTTTTATTTTATTCTGTTTGAAGCAAAAAAAATTTGAATGGTTTCAATATAATTTCAAACTTCTCTCCTTTCTTGCACTTCCTGATACCCACCACACCGTCTTCAAATTAAATTAGCTTAAGGACCTCCTCAAAATTTAACAAAAATGAATAAAAAAAATTAAAAAAAAACATCCTAAAATTATTAAATAGGGTATCTCCTTCTATTATGCCGTTCAGTCCACCTGTATACTTGTACTTATTGTATTACAGATTGTATATATACTCTTGTTTGTTCTATAGGTTAGGTTATGTTTTCAATATTTGTTTTTTACTGAATAGCTTTGATTATTAAGAATATTTTTTATTTTCTTAGTAATTTCTCTATTATTTTAGATTCTGAGCGGAGCGATGAATGTATTGGTTTTACAATGATGTATGTTTTTTTTTATTTATATTTTTATTTATATTTTTGTGTCTGTCATCACGTTTTGGGACAGTAAAAGTGCTTCGATTTTCTTCAATAGTACCTTTTCTGATAGGAAAGTGAATCTAGTTGGTACTTTGGGGGGTCAAAAGTAAACATTTTCCAGTAGTTTTCACAAGCGCCGGGAAAAGCAACATAAAAATTAAGGAAAAACGGGAATTTTTACGCAAAATCGATTTTCCAAAAAATCGAATTTGGTTTTTGGTGTAACTTTAAAACAAATGACCGTAGATACATGAAATTTTCACTGGTTGTTTATATTTGCATTTTCTATACACGATAACATTTTCAAAATATTTTGATTTATTTTGAACTGTTTAGGGACATTTTCATTTTCCATTTTTTTTTTAGTTTTTTTTCTAAAAATTTCAATAAAATTTTATTTGTTGGTTGCGAAAGCTTGAAAATTTAATAGAAGGCTCCTAATATGTTGTTTCAAAGGCAGATGAAAAATATTAAAAATCCTTAGTCACAATTTTTTTTTATAAACATTTAAAGTTCAAAAATTGACAAAATATGGAAAAATCACGAAAATTAGCAAATTATTTTGAGTTAAGAATTCGTAAAAATTTTTCTTTTTAAATCTAAGATTTGAAAATCTAATACAAGATTACTCATAAGATTGTCTACCTTTATCAATAAAAAAATTTCTACCGGAAAGTCAAATTAAATTTTTATGAGCGTTTGAAATTCAAATTTTTACAACATTGGATATTCACTCGATTTCTCATGTGGCAATTTCCTTTTTTTGTTGTAATTAAAAAACGAATTACTGTAGATACATGAAAATTCCACTGAATGTTTATATTAGCATTTCCTATACACCCTACAATTTTGAAAATATTTTGACACTTTTTGAGCCGTTTACGGACATTTTCAGTTTTCAATTTTTTTAGTTTTTTTTTCTATAAATATCAATTAAGTTTTATCTGTTGGGCCAAAAAGTGTAAAAATTTAATACAAGGCTCCTGATATATTGTTACAATATCAGTTGAAAAATATTAAAAATACATAGGCACGATTTTTTTTATAAGCATTTAAAGTTGGAATTTTGACAAAATTTATCAAAATCTCAAAAATTATCAATCGTTGGAATTAAAAAATTATAAAATGTTCAGTTTTTATAACTAAGAGTTGAAAATTTAAAACAAATATTCTCTTAAATAATTCATACTGTAACCAAAAAATCTAAAAAATATATAAACACACTTATTTTTTACAGACATTTTAATTTCAAATTTAGACAAAATTTCATATTTAAACCAAGAATTACGATTTTAGTTATTTTGTTGTGATTGAATAATATTATTCGTGGGTACTTGAAACTTCTAAAGTGTACTATTATATATCTATGACAGTATCACGGTTTTTGTTGATGTATAACGCGTTATAACTGTTATAAGTATCT